TCTGGATTGTGTTGGGTATGGAGATACTCAAGGGAGATCATAATCCGAGATGTACAATCATCTTAGAGTATCGCAGTCACTAACAGGAATGGGCTACCTGTTAGGACATGACTGTAGTATGGTTAGCACCTTAACCGGGTGGTGAATCTCAACCACGTGAGAAGGAAGTTCTCATGGCTAACATATTGTTGTATATGACAGAGCTATCGTATACAATGATGGACATAAGATTGTGTTTGACCAAAACTCTGTCAACATCAAACACGAATAATCTTATTCTCTGATGTGGATGAAATAACTCTAAATCCTGAGACATATGGTAGGACTCAAGCTTCGGACCTTGAGTGCTTTGATGTACCAATGAGTGAGGCTCGTAGATGGTCAACACCTCGGTACATTGGGTAACCAGTTTCGGAGTATTGCGAACTCCTATGTCAAGATGGAATCTACCCTCAGTTGTCTGAGTATATCCCCTAGAGTCGATTGGCAGTCTGATTGCGGGAACCTGTACAGCTACTCGATTTAGAGTAGAAGCATATCAGAGGATCTAATCGTGTATCAAGGACAAGAGGTAATTGAATAGGTTGACAGATCTTATCTCCTGTTCTATTACGGATATTATGGTGGAGGGGTATATTCATCAATACACAATATCAGGTCTAGGCTTGCGTAAGTAATTCTTCTACCGTCAGAGTTCAGCAAACACTCTTTAGTGGAATCAGTGTTTGTTAACTGAGCTAGGTGCAGTACGTTATGAGATAACAGAGACACTAGCGTCAGTTGGAGCTGATAGCAGGAGTACCTAGGTGTCCCACTTCTAGGTCAACGTTCTATCCACGACGACCGCTTCGGGAAGTTCCTCAAAATGTATTTATATGTAGGGTTTGTGATTATTGGATTGGATCAAATAGACAATCACAAATGGGTTATTGGTTTGATATGGGTCATGATAGTTATTGGGTTGGGCCCAATAATGGTCTTCATGATAGGAATGAGTTATTGGTTTGATATGGGTCATGATAGTTATTGGGTTGGGCCCAATAATGGTCTTCATGATAGGATTAGGATTTGGTTTATACAAATCCAAATCATGGTTTCATTCCTGTTATGAGATCGTACCTGACAAAACAATATATCCTAACAACTCTAGTTAAAATATTATTATATATTTGAAGATCTAGAGTTCCTTTGGCCCTATGGTTATATAAATATTTCCTCCTCTCCTCTTATTATGTACGTGAGATCTTAGATTAATTTCTGAGTGATCAAAACAATAGAGAGAAATATTTTTTTCTTTGGTGTGGAGATCCAAGGAAGAAGAAGGAACTTCAAAGGAGACGATCGGGAGTCCCACTACTCACGTGGAGGGAAGGACATGATCATAGACGTGAAGATCCAAGGTGCAAGCTCTCTTCCTCGGCTGTTGATTTCTTAATCAATGGAGGAACCAAGGTAATCACAACACTGTTATCGGACCGATCCTGGGCGGTTTCTGGTTTGGTTTGCGTTTTTGATTCCGCAATTTTGTAAAAATGCAATCCGGGTAGCCATATTCCCATCACGATGAAGGGCATTCGTCACGATAACCTATATACTCTTTCAGGTACGACGGTGACAGGAGATGCAGCAATTGGAGCTGAAGGAAGTGGTGGAGACCCCATGTGAGCACACACGGTTATGGCATAGGCGGCTTGGGCACATGTCAGAGAAGAATCTGGATCTGCTTGGTAAAGAGGGTTTGCTAAAGAAACTGAAGAAACCTTGCATGGATTTTTGCAAAGATTGTGTGTATGGAAAGACGCACATGGTCCAGTTTCTGAGGAGCAAGCACAAGAGCAGAGGGATACTAGAGTATGTGCACACGGATGTTTGGGGTCCGGCTTCGACAACTTCCAAGGATGGTTCCAGATATTTTGTCTCATTCATAGATGATCATTCTAGGTATGCTTGGGTTTATTCCCTGAAGCATAAGAATGAGGTATTTGAGACATTTAAGAAGTGGAAGGCGATGGTTGAGAACAGGACGTGCAAGAAATTGAAGACACTGAGATCTGATAACGGTACAGAGTATACAAATGGTACTTTCAAGGAGTTCTGTGATCAGGAGGGGATTACCAGACACTGGACAGTAAGATCTACACCACAACAAAATACGGTCACGGAGAGACTGAACCAAACACTGCGAGAGAAAGTAGTGAGTATGCGATCATATGCTGGTTTGGACAAAGAATGACGGGCAGAGTCAATTTCTACAGCTTGCTATATTGTGAATCGATCTCCACATTCGATATTGGACGGTGATACACCCTATCGGGTGTGATCAGGGGAGCATGTAGATTATGAGAGGCTCCGGATTTTTGGGTGTACCGCCTACTATCACATCAACGAGGAAAACTTAACGCGAGGGCCAAGAAGGTAATTTTCTTGGGGTATGCAAATGGTGTAAAAAGCTATCGTCTTTGGTGTGCAGAAGATTCGAAGTTCGTGATCAGCAGGGACGTTACCTTTGATGAGAAATCCATGATTGTTAGGGTGCCCAAGGATGATGGTGTTGAGACTGTTGGGAATTCTAAGTCCCAGGTTATTGATATAGAACCTTAGGGTGCCCAAGGATGATGGTGTTGAGACTGTTGGGAATTCTAAGTCCCAGGTTATTGATATAGAACCTAAAGACCAACCAGGTTCTAGTCATGTTCAAGTGGGAAATTAGGTAGATGATGAGCTTGAGCAGGAGGAGGTTCAGCAAGAGAATACACAGGCACTATAACAATAGCAGCTCGAGGATAGTTTGGCTTCCACTAGGCCAAGGCGAGCATACAAGCAGGTACAGAAGCTGAGGCTGATCAACCCCTGAAGCACTATGGGCATGTTAATTTGGTTGAGTACGCACTCTCGGTGGAGGAAGATGAGCCGGTCTCCTTCAAGCAAGCTATTCGGGATAGAGGTAGCGAGAGTTGGTTGGCTACGATGGAGGAGGAGATGGAATCTCTACGGAAGAACCAAACATCGGAGGTGGTCCCATTATCCGTAGGAAAGAAAACTATAAGTTGTAAGTGACTGTATAAAAGAAAGGAAGATCCTTCAGAGCTTGGTGGTATGAGGAACAAGGCAAGGCTAGTGACTAAGGGGTTTGCACAAAGAGAATGTATGGATTACAATGAGATATTTTCTCCGATGGTGAAACACACCTCTATTCGGGTGCTATTGAGTATTGTTGCTCATGGTGATCTTGAGCTAGAATAACTCGATGTCAAGACGGCCTTCTTGCACGAAGACCTGGATGAAGAGATCTATATGCATCAATCTGGGGGCTATAAGGTTGAGGATAAGGAGCATCATGTATGTCGCTTGAGAAAGTCACTCTATGGACTGAAGCAATCTCCTCGTCAGTGGTACAAGCGATTTGACTCCTTCATGCTGAAGCATGAGTTTTCCCAAAGCGATTATGATTGTTGTGTTTATATTCGGAAGCTTTGAGGAGGTGATTATATCTATCTTCTTTTGTATGTGGATGACATGCTTATTGCTTCTAAGAGCAGGGTGGAGATAGATAGGCTGAAATCTCAACTTGGTAAAGAGTTCGAGATGAAGGACATGGGCGCTGTAAGAAAAATACTAGGTATAGAGATTAGAAGAGAGCGGACGAATCAGTGATTGTTCTTAATTCAGAAGGGCTACATAGAGTGGGTGATCGCAAGGTTCAGGATGCAAAGTGCAAAGTCGGTGGCGACTCCATTAGCTCCACACTTCAAGCTCTCAGGTAAACAATCTCCCACTACAGCGGAAGATAAGGCACACATGGAAAGTGTTCCCTATGCTAGTGCAGTTGGCAATTTGATGTACGCAATGGTGTGTACACGCCCTGATATTTTACAGGCGGTTAGTGTGGTCAATAGATTCATGGCAAATCCAGGAAAGACGTACTGGGAAGCAGTGAAATAGGTCCTGAGGTACTTGAAAGGTACCACGGATACGGGTCTGTGTTTTGGTGGAGATACATGTCAGATCGACGGGTTTGTGGACTCAGATTATGCGGACGATCTAGATAGACGACGATCTACTACTGGTTATGTATTCAGGAAACATGGGGCTCCAATTAGTTGGCGATCGATATTACAGGCTACAGTGGTACTTTCTACAACAGAGGCCGAGTACATGACTATGGCGGAGGGAGTGAAGGAAGCATTGTGGTTGTGGGGTCTTCTAGAAGATTTGGGGATTAAGCAGGAGAGCGTGAACTTGTGGTGCGACAGTCAGAGTGCGATTCACTTGGTAAAAAATCAAGTTTACCATGCTCGTACCAAGCATATCGACGTCAGATATCATTTTGTGCGGGATGTCATAGAGGAAGGTGATATTTCTCTCATGAAGGTACACACGAATGAGAATCTCGCAGACATGTTAACCAAGATAGTGACAAGCAGCAAGTTTCTGCATTGCTTGAACTTGCTTCATATTAGCCCGTGTTGATTTGTCCATGAGTACATGGCCCTACGGGGCGGTGATGGAGGTGAGGTAGAGACTATGTTGGTGAATAGTTACAGAACTACGATTAGCTTGATTCCGATGGAGGGTACGTAGGCAGCCGCGGTATTGTGGCGCAACTGGTTTGGACTGGTTTGGCCTGGATCTCTCTGGTGAAGTTCGTGGTGTTTTTCTGGTGTTCGTCTAAAATTTAAGGCTAATCAAATGATGTACGAGGTGGAGAATTGTAATCGTGGGAATGGACACAAGACAATAATGTGTCCCCCCATGCTTTTGTACATGGGACCGTGAACATGGGAATGGACACAGGACAATAGTGTCCCCCCATGACTCTTGTACACGGGACAAGAGAGTTCCTCATGAGGTTCAAGTGGGTACAAGCATGTGGCTCCCCCTATTGCCTATGCCTATAGCCCTTCTGTGCTCCTCTTGTGAGCTGGTTCCAGCAGGGACACTCATCCCTCTCTTACCTATAAATAGAGAGGAAGAGAGAAGAGGAATGATGTGGGGAAAAATCTCTTGAGTGAGTAGAGAGGAAAAAGAAGAGAGAGGAAGAGAGAACTTGTAATAGTTTGGTATTCTCCTCATAGTGAAAACCCCCTCCTGTGAACGTAGGCAAGTTTGCCGAACCACGTAAATCTGTTGTCTTGTCTTTTACTGAGAGTTGGTATTGCTTATAGGTTCCCTCGACAAGTCAGTCCTATACTGATGAGAGGTTGAGCTGGAACAAGAGTTGGCCATTGCTTGTTGGATCCATCGACATTCAGTCCTAGAACTGCTGAGAGGAAGAGTGTATATCTCACTTTGTTGAGATATTTAACTTTCTATTCCTGTTTCCTTTGAGAAACAAGAATATAGAGGTTGACTTGTGCTTTCGTGAAAACGAAAGTCAGGGCTATCTCTCAGGTGCTATCGCTTCCGCGGCGTGAGGGCTTAACTCCGCCCCCAACAAACTACCTTAGGGCTTGCCTACTCGAATAGAAGTGTGCAATATCTTGTTGTACACCATCTAAACTATAGCTCCCCGGGAATTTCCTGTTTCTCATTTTGGTGTCAGTTTATATGTTTGCTAATACTTGGTAATATCGTTCAGTGCTCTAATGTGGGGATGGATTATGATTCTGATATCGTAAACACTAAGCACAATGTGGAGCTAGTAAGGTTCTTGTCATTTAGCCTACTCTTGTTTACCTTAAAGGTAAGTGCGCTATGTACCCATGTCATACATATGTAGGACACACTCACTTGCCCAACGGTGCCTCAACATTTTTGGACACATGGGAACCTAGTCGCTAAAAGCAAATAATTGGGAACCTGGCTTTGTTGAACCATGATCCTTGAAAATGCAACAAGATGTTCCTTCAACATGCCAGAATATGGCTGGTAATGGAGTAGACATGGAGCAGATACTGATATGTTTTCTTATAATTTGAAGAATTCGAATCTTGATCCTTTGCGGCGAAGAATCACCATCATATCTGACCCAAATGGAAATAAGTTTAATATAAATATCTAAAGCACTAATATAGATCTGAACCTCATAGAGGGTGAATTGCACATAGGCCCCCTGTAGTATCACACTTTTGAACTTATTGCCTCTGTGGTCTGGTTTTGGCAGATATACCCGTGGGAATATTTTTTTTTTTTTTTTTTGACTCTCTTATTTTCATATTTCATATCTGTTTGCACAATAATCTTCATATCTGTTTGCACAATAATCTTCATATCTGTTTGCACAATAATCCTCATATCTGTTTTCACTCCTCCTCCTAAGTCATTAATATGGTTAGATTAAATAAATATGAAATAGGCCCTGACATAGGCGAAGCACTTACATTAGTCCATAATCTCATGTCTGCTCTTCCCTGTGAACTTTACTCTGAATAACCAACAAACAACTGAAGCTTTTAAAGTTGTTCCCAAATCATTAGAACGGTAATTTTTGTGTTTGCGAACATTCTTTAAGTTGTTCATTTGTTTATACTGCATTCAAACTATGGATTATGGCTTCCCCTATTAATTTAGAAGCTTATGATTTCTAAGTATTAGTAATTAAAAAGGTTTTTAAGTTTGTAAATTACTGATCCATTTGACAATATCATTGTGTTGTGGACATTGTTAGTTTCGTCATTATTTTAATGAGCACATTTTTAATTATGGTAAATTGTATATACTCCCTTTCATCTATAGCTTTGGTAGCAAATAACCCCACTCAATTCATTTGTCAGCACTTAGCCCCCTCAATTCATGAGATAGAGGGATCTTGTAATTTGCCTTTGTGAAAATAGGAATACAGGCTTGTTTTCTAACCAATGTTCATTGAAATTGTATCTTGATTCTATGTATGGAATCTAGTCACGACTGAAGCTATTTTGCACTAACTAGTCTTACCAATAAACATGCAGCTCTGTGCACATGCGTATGCTTCTCTGCTTGCCGAGGTTAAGTGACCGATGATAGGAAGAATGTCCTCAGTTCTTGCACGGAAGCCAAACGACTTCTGAAGCCAGACCCTAGGTACACTAAGATGCGTAGAAAAGAAAGGGAGTCTCTCTGGATCAGATACTCTGACGACATGATCAGGAAGCAGAAACCAGCAGCTGACGCCGAAGAGAAATCAGATAGAGGAGGTAAAGATAAATCATCGAGGAGGTCCCATGGCTGGAGTAACTAACAGCGGAGGGAGCTCATCTTTCTGGGATTCGATCTGTATTAGCTTCCCCCTAGCACCATTTTCCCTTGAAAGGTTAGCAGGTCGTTTCTTAGCATCACTGATTTGTATTACATCAACCAAATGAGGGGTATGGTGTAGATTGTAGTGTACAAAAAGTGTTATGTCATGGCCTTGTTCTTCATTGCTCTGCGTTTGCTGGTGATATCTTTAATTGCAGATGTTTTATGCTGCATTCTTATTTTGGTCAAGGATGCTATTTGAGTTCTTTTTCCTGCTTAATGCTAAAACCTGACGGCTACTGAATTCTTCTGAGCTTTAGTAATTCATATTGACTACAGAATTGTGCCACTTACCAGGCTTGGAGTTCTATTTACGAGCTACGCATACAAGTCAGATAAATTACAGCACAAACACTAAAATTAAAAAACGAGGGAAATGGTTTTTCTTCAAGAGCATCTTTATGTGCAACATACATAGGAATCACAGAGAGACGCCATGTATGTTCTCGAGGCGTTGAGTCTAGGACTTTCTCATCTTGAGCCTCGTTATTTTTTCAACAAGAACTTTAAGATCAGTTATGGAGATCAAGCTTGTGATTTTCCCCAGCCGTATGCGCACGTTTGAGCGCTAATCCAACAAAAAAAATAGAGAAAAAGAAGGGAAACGGTTTTGTTCAGTAGCTTCATATGTAAAATATGCATAGGAATTACGATGACACATGAGCCAGATATTTACTCTACTAAACTTCTAAAGCATATAACCTTCCTATTAAAAAAATAAACAAATAAAAAAAAGAGATAACAAAAAGCTAAACATCACTTAAATATTGATCATATAGTTTCACATAGTTTGCACATATAAACACACACATGTTTTTTATTAGTTTTACACGTTTTTGGGCACACGAGTGAAACCTTGGCAAGGCACCGGGGTCCCTAGTCCGAATTCCGAATTTGATTCTTAACCATTGTAAGTGAACCATATGTGTGGATCTCACCTTCCATTCTGACACTCCAGGTTAGACAGACGAGATGTGATCTGAGAATATTAATGGATAAATTAGTATCTATTTTATGCAGATATGAAAATTTTCACTCAAATGTTCGCCTACGAAAGGCACTTGCTAATTTATTAAGTATCATTTTAAGTGATATTTAGCCTAACAAAAAACATCATTTAAGTGCTACGGCATAACAAAAAAAACCCGTACTTGCTTGCGTTTCAGCGTAACTCTCACTATGAGCCCTTCCCAT